CCCAGCGCCTGCCAGAACGCCTCGCTCTCCTCGCTGCTGATCTCCGCGCGGTTCTTGCGCTCGTTCTTGTTGATCTTCTCGCACATGAGCCGCGCCTTCGACTTGAGCGTGCTTTTGGCCCGCCTGCCGTTCCAGATGTGAATGGCGGTGCCTGCGCCCAACCACCGCTTACTAAGCCGCCCCCACCCTCAAACCGCCGCCACTCACCTTGGTCCAGGATGAAGACGAAGCGCGGGTCCAGGGAGGCGGCGCTGATCGGCACCGGCTCCAGGTGAATGGAGGGCCCCGCAGGGTGCACCCGGTAGAACCGCGTCTCGAACGTCTAAAATGACAGCAACTGTCAACGTCAGTCAACGGCGGGCGATGCTAGAAGAGCACCGACGCAGGGGGGTGGCGGTCTCGCTCGCACGCATTGCGCCCTGCGCGCGCTTGCCACATTTAATAATAGCGCTAAACCCTCACCAGGTCCTCGACGGTGTAGAAGCCGCTGCAGGTGCGGCCCCCCTGGATGTACGTGATCTGCGTCTCGAACAGGTTGAGAAACTCGTCCGATTCGTCGGCTTGCTCCTCGCGGATGGTGCGGCACTGCGCCCCCAGATAGTTGCGCAGATTGACCGCATGGATGGCCGAGCAGGCCTTCTTGTCGAGCTGCACATGGGGGGGTTGCACAGTTAGGGGCTGCGCCCTTCCCCCACCAACGACGACTTACCGGGGCTTTGCCGCCGATCCAGAAGTAGATCTCCCAGTTGAGGCTCTGGTTCTCGTCCACGCTCGTTTTGAGCACGATGTAGCAGTCGCCCTCGTAGAACTTGCCGTAGGCGACCTCGTCGATGCGGTTGGGCAGGAAGTTCTCGATCTCCCAGATGGTGAGGCCCGGCAGCTGGCCGGCGTCCGCCTCGAAGAACTCCGAGTAGTCGAGCGGCGGCTTTTCCAGCGCCTCGTCCCAGCGGCGCGGCCTTAAAGCAAACGGGGCGCGTTAGAACGGTCTCGACCGCTCAGACCTGCGGGGGCCTACTTGAGCGACTCGGCCTTGGCCTCCTCCTCCTGCATGCGCCGGTTCTTCTCAGTCGCGATGTCTTTCATGCCCTGGAAGGGTAAAGACAGTTAGTCAATGTGGGTTAGCAAAGGGGGGCGGCGCCCTGCACAAACCTTCAGGATCTTGGCCTGGTCCTGGTCGGCCTCCTCGTGGTCGCGCCGGCCGCGCCGCAGGCGCATCTTGCGCGCCATCGGGTCCTTGCTGGCGCCTACAACACAACAGTCACACAGTGCAGCCCGGCAGGCGCTCGAGCTTACTTTGGGGGGGCGCAGGGGCGGGCGCCATGGCGCCCGCCAGCCGCAGCTGGTTCTGCAGGGAGAAGTCGATGTTGTAGAACTCGACGCCGGCGCCGCGCGTCGCCTCCGACGGCTTGGGCGGCATGATCAGCTCCGGGTTGTTCTTCAGGTCCAGACAGTCCAGGTCGCCCAGCAGATGGATGGCGTCGGGCAGCGTGATCAGCCGATTGGAGCTCAGGTTGAGGCGCTTGAGCGAGCCGCAGCGGCACAGCCCCTCCGGGATCATCTCCAGGCGGTTGTGGGCGGCCGCAAACACCTCCAGCGCCCCCAACTTCCCGATGCCCGCCGGGATGCCTTCAAAGTCCAGCTGGTTGTCGCTGAGGTAGAGCCGGCGCAGGCTCTGCAGCTTGCAGATGGCGCTGGGCAGCGCCCTCAGCTTATTGTGCGCCACATTGAGCGTCTCCAGCTTCTGCCACATCTCGACCGCTGCAACAAACCGGCAACGCTCAGCAACTGCTCAAAGTGCCCCCACTGTCTCACCCGAAGAGAGCTCAGCGATGTCGTTGTCGCTGAGGTTCAGCCGGCGCAGGCTGGGCAGCGAGTAGAGCGCGTCCGGGACGCGGGGGAGCGCGTTCTGCGCCAGATCCACATCGGTCAGACTGAGCAGATTCTCCAAGCTGGGGGGGAAGTTGGCGAGGTTGCGCTGCGTGTTGCGCAGATGGAGCGTCTCCAGGCTGGTCAGGCTGGGGAGCTGGCGCAGCTGGAAGTGCCCCATCGGGTTGTTGTTCAGCACCAGCGTCTGCAGGTTGGCGAGGCGGCGCGTCTGGGGCGGCAGCGTCTCCAGCCGGTTGTCGCTCAGGTCCAGAAACAGCAAATCGCTCAAGTTGATGAACAGCGCGTTGGGGATGGCGTCAATGCTACAAACCAGACTTTTAGCCCCGAAACACTCAGGCAGGCGGGCAACGACTCACTGGTTGTGGCTGAGGTTGAGCACCAGGAGGCTCCGCGCGCGCTCCAGCCCCTCAGGCACTTCCTTCAAGTTGTTGTGGCTCAGGTCCAGAGTGCTCAGCTCCTCCAGGTGGAAGAGTTCGGCCGGAATGCCGGAGCTCTTCACCTTGTTGTGGCGCAGGTTCAGGCTCCTAACCAGCCCCCCATTAGCCCGGCTAGTCAGTCATTTCCCCGCCATTTGCTCACCTCAGGCAGTTGAGCTCGGTCAGCTCCCCGTGCAGCTTCTCCAACTCGTTGCGGGTCAGCGACAGGTGCTCCAGCTTCATCAGGCTGCCCATCTCCTTGGGGATGCTGCGTAGCTGCGTGCGGTCCAGCTTCAGCCACTGCACCCCCGTCATGTACGCCACTGCGTCCGGAAACTTGCCCTCCTGCAACCCACTCAACCGGCTGCACCCGCGCCCCACTGCCTAGCCTAAATACTCACGCTGAAGTCATTGCGAGTGAAGTCGACGCCCCTCACAAAGGGCAGCACTCCTGTGTTGTGCGCCATCGCCCCCCGAGTTCCAGGGGCCGGTTTCTCACTCCTGCTCTCGCTTGCTGTCAACTGTGCGGCGCTCCCACGCTCTAGAGCCCCAAAAACGCCAAATTCTTGCACATACTTTAAGGGGGTTAACTTGGCAGGGTTGTTGACTTTTCTTCATCTATCATCGATGGTTGTGGAGAGTTGAGGTTATTGTGTGCAGCGCCTGAAATCGTCAGCTACCCCGCCAAGGGCGGGCGACTGTTTTCAGGCCAGTAAATAATGTATTATAATAAATATAACAGTAAGCGTGCGCCCCCATTTACACGGGGCCCAGCCGCACGGCAGGGCTCCACCAAAAATCCCCCATCAACTGGCAACGCCGCCCAAGCGATAGAGGTTAAAGCAGTGCAAGTGTCAACTACATGTCAGTGTGCCCCAAACAGTCAGAGCCCCCAAAAGGGGCGGCGATGAAGGGCGGGCGCAGCGCCACCCACTTCCCCCCGCAGGCCTACTCGTCGACGTTCCGCGGCCCGCCCGGGGCTGCGACGGGGGCGCCCCCGCGGAGCGACTCGGCGCCAGCCACGGTAAGTAGGAGCGGTGCTTCGTCGACCCCGTGCGCCACCAATTAGACCAATCAGGGCAATTGAGCGGCAGTCAAACTGCAAAGGTCGCGACCCCCATCATAGATAAAGACAAGCATATTAAAATGACCCCCATCAATTGTTCCTTGCTAGTCGAACAACTGTGTTGTGGACGTGCTTTCCCGTGCAAACTGCGATTGTTGCTTTCGGTGAGGTTAGGGGGTGAGTGGGGCCCCAGTCCCAGTGGCGGCTAATGTGGGGGTTTGCATTTGCAGATGGCGCTGGTGCTGTTGCTGGGGCTGTCGCTGCCCCTGGGCCCCCTTGCGCAGGCCGCGCGCTGCTCGCCTGCGGGCCCCACTCAAACATTTGGCTCGCTGGCGGAGTTCCAGGCCAGCAACGCGAGCTCCTGCGCTGTTTCCGTCAATTTCAGCGCGCAGCGCTTCGAAGGGGACCGGCTGCCGCCGCTGCGCCCCTCCGGCGCCGCCTGCCTGCTGGCGCTGGAGCTGCGCAACAAATCGCTGGCGCGCCTTGCAGATGGCGCCTTCGCCAACCTCACCTGCCTGGGGCGGCTGGATTTGAGCCAGAACCGGCTGGCGGCGCTCAGCAAGCGCACCTTCCAGGGCCTGGATGGGCTGCTGGCGCTCAACCTGAGCGGCAACGCCCTGATTGGCCTGGCGGCTGCCGACCTCCAGCCCCTCCCCAGGCTCCGCCTGCTCGACGTCTCATTCAACCGCTTAGTGGGCGTGGATAGGGAGGCCTTCAACGCAAGCCCCGCCCTCCGGGCGTTGAACGCCTCCCACAACCAGCTGAAGCGCATGCCCGACTGCTTCGACGCGYTGCCAGAGCTGCGCGAGCTSTCGCTCGACCACAACTCGATTGCGATCTTCAGCGCGCAAGCGCTGAGCGGCAACAGCGCCCTCAGGCGCCTGGACTTTATGAAGAACGAAATGGTGATCCTGCACTTTGGCGAGAACGAGACGTTCAGCTGGCCGGAGCTGCGCCTGCTCAACCTGTCAGGCAACTGTCTGGGCACGGTGAGCGTGAACAGGGCGCATGCCCTGTTTGGCAACAGCGCCGCCTGCCTGGACCTGAACGACAACCACTTTTCGTGCGCGGAGTGGCAGCGGCTGGCCGAGGGCCTGGCCCGGGGCGGGGTGTGCGTGCGCCCCGGGCGCGACTGGGGCGCCCCCCACCACATCCAGGGCATGCTGTGCGACAAGGCGTGGGCGCAGCTGTTCGAGGCGCCCCCTGCCGCGCCCCCCGCCTTCCACATCAAGTACCTGGCGCTGGCGCTTGCGCTCATCGGCGCCGCCTTCGTGTTCCTTTTGGTGCGCGACCGCTGCGCCCAGCCGTCCCTCCCCAAGTGGCTGTGCGCCACCGCCCCCTCCAGCGACATGGACTATGTCCATCTGCAGCCCGACTCTTAAGCCTTGCTGACTCTGTTGAATAAAGTTGTAGCGTTTCCACTGGCGGCAGTTGCTTTGATTGGTCTCACCCGCAGCCAACCCCCGCGCAGACTCACGTCAGTTGTCTTGATTGCAGGTGGCGGGGCCAATCAGCCATCAGCATCAGGTGAGTGGGCGAAGCCGCGTGGGGGAGTTGGGCGAAGCCGCCGGCCGCGCGTTGGGGAGCGAGTGGGACAAGGCGCGCTGCGCGTGCACAGCACGCGCGCGACAAGGACGCGCGCATAACAACGCGGACGGCCGCCGATAAACTGGCCCGAGGGCGATGCGCGTTTCGAAAGTTGGTCAGCCAACCGGAAAACATCATCGATAGCGGACTCCGATCTAGTCGGCAGGCGTCCGGAGGCCACCATTGACGTCACAGCGGTCACGTGGGCCGGCCCGGACACTGTACAGGGTGGACGTCCCGGCCAATCAGTGCGTTCCCTTTGTCCGGAAGCGACTGCCGGTAAGTGGGGCCCCCCCAATCTCATGAGCACATAGCGGGCTGCGGCCTCGCCCCCCCCCTTTCTGACCAGTTCCGGATGCAATGAATAATTCAAGCGGGCGACCACGCAACCCTGTAGCGTTTACGCGGCCTGAAAACAGACGAGCCATAACCTCACACTTGACGTCAACGGCGTCATTTCGCATGCCAGGCAAGCGCCCGCTTTCATTGAGCCGTTTGGCGCGACGCATTTTAAACAGCCGGGGGCAGTTCGGCAGTGGCCCTTTGGCTAGCGCGCCTTGTCTGTTGCACTGCGTGTGGCGGCGAGCGAGCAGGACAGCGGCGTGCCACGCCAGGCCGTTTGCGAACTCCCCCCACATTCCGCTTGGGTAATTGTATAGGCAACTGCGCAGCTGGTTTCGCGGGCGCGGCAACGCCGCATTGACGCACGGACCCGAATGAAACGCCGCACTTGGCCTGGCGGTTGATTAGTAGTGCGCCAGCCCGCCAGCCGAGCTGTCAAGAGCGAAAGTTTCGAGCGCCCGCGCCATCCTCAAGCCCAGGGTGCGTGTTTTATGATGTGTGTGAGCCGCATCGAAATGGTGCCGGCCGTAGTCAGTCTCGTTGCAACGAAGGGCCGCGACAGGTATTCCGGCCTGATCCAGGACTTGGTGTGCTTCCGATGCAGCCACAATGCGGTAGGTCGAGTGGGCGCAGCAGCAGGCCATTTGCGTCACCCACTTTCCCCCCCGAGTGCAACGTTGCCTGCATTCTGGGTCGACGCACAACAAAATAGTGACGTCAATCGGTTGCCCCCCGCGGGTCAGTGACGTCGACGCGCTCCTAACCATTGCGTTGTTGCAGGGCGACGCGCCCCACGACGCCCCAGCCGCCGCCAGGACGATCCGCTCGCCCTCGCCCCACAACGCCTTCAAGCGATGGCGCACCTCGAGGCAGCCGGGGGCGCAACCCCCCCCGCCCGACGAGATGTCGCTGCTGCAGTTTCTCGCCTTTGTAAGTCTGTGGCCCGATCGATGCGCGACCGCCCAGCCCTAAGTGCGACACACGCCGACGGCCCGTGATCACGTTGGCGCGCTATTTATAGCTGGGGGGTCACGGCCTCCCCTTAATTCCCAGACAGTCGGGCAACGCTGCGCCGTGCCTTGGCTTTAACGCGCGCGCGCATTCGCCATCGCGTGTCCAATTGCTGGCGATTTTTATATCGCATCGATATATATATTTTTATATCGGCGATAATTATATCTCCAGTTTTGCGGTTGCGGATTTTCCGTTTTCGCTATTTTCTCGAGCTTTCATTTAACTCGCTTGCTGCAAGTGGGGTTTTTGTCGTTCAACACTTGATATGGGTTTAGCGTTACGCTATTTGCGATTATCGTTTATTGCTACTTTTGGTGGTTTTCTTTTCGCCCCTTTCGGATACAAGTAGAGTTTTCGTCGCGTACTAATAAGGGCTTATGCGGGTTGGTTTATTGCTATTAAATTTACGTTGCTCATGATTAACGTTATATATTGGGCATTTTAGTCCGGGCTGATTCCATAAGAGGGAGTTTTCGCAGTGTTAGTGGCAAACGTGATTTGCGATCGGTGTCCATTTTCTGGTTTTTATACTTTAGGTAATTATACTTTCTTGTGGTCAAATTATTTAGTGACCATAACCTCACTCAAACTTATCGTTTGTCTGATAAAAAATCCGAAAAGCTCTCGATGCAAAAACGACATTTTGACATTCTTTAATTTATAACATCGTAACCGAAAGATTAATCGATTTGATGAAGTTAATAAGAAAAGTTGACTGAAAGAACAGTGACATTTACTTTGACACTGGCATTTCAGAGTTTCAGAGTCGAAGAAAAACGATAAAAATCGATTTTCTTCGACACGAAAACTCGCAGATCATTCATATTATACAGTTATCATCTGACGGGCCATATTTATGGATGCTGTATGTCAAATCACGTCAACTGTCAATTTTGACAGCCCATTGACAATGATGTGAATCGATCGGGGTCGATACACCGATACCGTCTCTTTGGAACAGTGTTGTCAGTTTGCAAAATTATTTTCCGTCGTCATGTCAATCGGGTAGGAAACCTATCGAGCACTCTAGCGTCATTCGTGTTGACAATGCGAGCACTCTAGCGTCATTCGTGTTGACAATTCGAGCACTCTAGCGTCATTCCTGTTGACATTTCGAGCAAATGTCGCGTGATGACAGTTGCGTTATGTCTGTCTGTTTGCAGAACGCGCTCGATCTGAGCCTGCCGGCGAGTCCGGTGCTGCTGAAGACGCGTCACAGCCACTGGTTCCAGTTGAGCGGCCATCCGGACAGTCTGGCGCCTGCGGGGCCCGGCACGGTGTGGAAGAAGCGCTCCCCGAACTCGGACGACACGGAGGGGCGCGTCTACGAGGAGCTGCAGCGCGACCCGCTGCTGCAGGACATCGTGCCGCGCTACTACCGCCAGGTGGAGTACCAGGGCGAGCAGTTCATCGAGCTGCAGGACCTGCTGCACGGCTTCCAGGACCCCTACGTGATCGACATCAAGATGGGCACGCGCACCTTTCTCGAGTCGGAGGTGCGCAAGACGGCCGCCCGCCCCGACCTCTACCACAAGATGGTGGCGATCGACGCGGACGCGCCCACCCCCGAGGAGCACCGCCTGCAGGCGGTCACCAAGCTGCGCTACATGCAGTTCCGCGAGCTGCAGTCCTCCACCTGCAGCGAGGGCTTCCGCATCGAGGCGATGAAGTGCCGGGGCTCCGCCCCCGTCACCGACCTCAAGACCGTCAAGTCGAGCGCCGAGGTGCTGCACACGTTGGACGTGTTTCTGGGGGGGCGCGAGGACATGCGGCAACGCCTGCTGGCGCGCCTCTGCGACATGCGCACCAAAATCGACCAGTCCGACTACTTCAAGAGCAGGGAAGTGGTGGGGAGCAGCCTGTTCATCGTCTACGACGACGCCAAGCTGGGGGCGTGGCTGATCGACTTTGCCAAGACCAATCGGCTGCCCGAGGGGCGCACCGTCGACCACCGCGCCCCCTGGGAGCCTGGCAACCACGAGGAGGGCCTGCTGTTCGGGTTCGATCGGCTCATTTCGGTAAGCCTCCCACCCCTCTCCGCCCCGCTGATGCGGGCAACCGCCACTAACTGGCTGTTTTGGTTGCAGATGGTTGGGAGCATCCGCATCCCGGAGCGCGGGGGGCGCTTTGCGCGCCCCCTTTCGGTCAGCGTCAAGTCCTGAGCGCCGGGCGCCGTCCCGGCATGTGAAAGTGCCCCGGACGCGATATGACGTCTCAGCGCCCACGGCCTCCCCACTCCTCTGTTTGTGTCCACTCCCCCAGGGCCCACTGTGTATTTGCAAGTATTAAGCCCCGCCCCCCGGGGGCGGGGCCCCAGCCCGTCATCGCTCTAGTCAATGTTCCTAGATTTAAGGCCTCCATCCGACAACACTGTGTACTTATTATTACATTTTTTAACCAGTAAACTAGAGGGACGGGTTTTTTCAAATTTATTCCCCAGTGGCCAGTGGAAAATTCCAATAAATTAATCAATAATATTAATAATAGTAGTAATAATAAATATCACACACACACACGCACACACAGGTGGGAGTATTCAGCGACTAGATCGGAGCGGGATTGCACTATTCGTGTAAAAACAATAACAAGGCGGGGGCGTGGCCTCAGGGCGACATGGAGGCGGAGCTGGGCGACCGGCTGGAGGAGCGCCGGCGCGCAAAGTAGGGGCTGTTGGAGCTGCAGGTCGAGTCCGAGCTGGGCGACAGCCTGGTGTAGGGAATGGGCCGCTTGCGTGCGCTGCATTAGTCGGAAGCAATGTTAGTGTGATTAGTGGGAGCAGAGGGGGCGAAGCGCCTGCGTATGCCATGCAACTTACCTGCCATCTGAACGACAACAACAACAACAACAACGGGCACTACACACAAACATCGGAAAAAAACAAAATCAAATCGTACAAAATCATAACGAAACTTTATTGTCATCGGGCGGGCGTGGTC